CAGACACCAACAGCAACTGCCTCGTTGTCCATCCCCTTCCCTGGCAGAGCTCAGGTTGTTCAGTTCCTTCTTCTCATGCTTCTTTAGACCCCTACTCAGCACGTTTAGAGGGCACCCGAAGGTCACAGAGGGGTGCTGCACATTCAACATTGAAACCTGAACAGCTAAACTCAGTAGATAACATTTGTTTCTCCCGGAGCTGATGATTATCTTTTGTTTTCCTCTGATAAGGATGTACATATGATAGGATTTCAGTGATTACCCTTTGAATCCAATGTGCCCTCCAGCCCTAAAACCATGACATTTTTTGTGAGGTCCTAAAGCAGTCTCCAATGACCAGCGGCAAAGTGCCAAAGCACTAACTAAAATCCAGCTTATGTTTCAAGTTTTCCTTTATTTTTTCAGAGTGAGTCCTTGCCCTCCTTTTATTATTAAGTCTCTTTCTGTCATTGAATCTAGGTTGCTCAGTTTAATACACACCCACCCTCCCACAAACACTTAGATTGAATCCCTCTATATTTAGAATGTACTGTAGATTGTAAGAATGTAATATATATATTTATAAACATGCCAACTGTGAATAAAATTTGCATTTTAGTGGCTTCATCTTTTTTCCTGCTCTGAATGCCTCTTTCCTTTCACCGTCAGAACGTTTACCCTGAAAGAGAATGGCAGCAATATGGAGACTTGTCCTTTGATGAAGCGATGAATTAAGGCTCTTGGCACAATCTAGTCACAAAGTTTTACATTGTGCAGCGTTGGGGGTGGAAGATGTAACATCAACAACGTGTTATGCTACAAATGTATTTGCACCACATCACCCTTCCGAGATTTGAAACCATTTGCAAATAAATCCACATGCATATTTCTAGCTCGAAAGCCTGATATGTGATTTTCTGATTTGGATGCTATCGGGAAGATGCACGTTTGGCTAAATGCCTTTGAAGACGATTTTTAAAAAGTAAGTTGGTGTAAATAGGGCAAATGTGCCCAAAACTTTGGAGATGGATACTTGTGCATCAGATGGTCTTTGTTTCTTTCAGCACCTGTCGTCAAGGCCTGGTTTGCTCAGTCCTACGCAAGCTCAAGGACAAAGAGCAGCAGTGAGGAGAGCACAGTGCCGGGCCCGGGGTGGCTCTGGATGAGCGCCCAGGCGCGGGAAGCAGCCGCGGTGCCGTAGCAAAGC